AGTCCTTTTACTTAGTCTGGTGTACTTTATGCTTCCATTACTTCTGGAATTGTAATCTCACATATTGCCTCTCCCCCATCTCCGACCTTCGTTATTTTCTTCTTTGTGACTCTTCTCTTTCGTATTTTTCATGTTTTCTTGTCAATACTGGTTTCTCAATAATTTTCTTAGATGTGGCTTCCAGCGTGTTCATTTTTTCCAGCTGATTTTAATCAACTGCCTCCTTCATTTTGATTTTAATTCCAAAATTATGTATTTATAATTGGTTTTTAAAAATTATTTTATTGGGATATAATTCACACACCATAAAATATACCGTTAAAAAGTATATTCATAAGTTTATAGCTATCGTCACTATATAATTCCAGGACTTTTAATCACCTCGAAAAGAAACTGAATCCATTAGGAGTCACCCTCGTGCCTCTCTTGCTCTAGTTCCGGGCAACTACTAGTCACTTCTGTCTCTATGGCTTTGCCTGTTTTGGACATTTCATATAAATTCACTCATATGGTATATGATCATCTGGTCAGTCTTCTTCCGCTTAGCTTGATGTTTCCAAGGTTCACCCATGTTGTAGCATGTATCAGAACTTTGTTCCTCTTGATGCCTGCGTGGTATGCCACTGTATGAATAAATTACATTTTTTAATCTGTTCATCAGTTGATGAACATTTGGGTGGTTTCCACTTTTTGGTCGATGTAATACTGCTGTGAATGTTCATGTAACAAGTTTTTGTATGAACATGAATTTTCATTCTCTAGGGCATGTACCTAGGAGTGGAATTGCCAGGGTGAGTCATAACTTTTATGTGTTTAATTTTTAGAGGAACCGTGAGACTGATTTCCAAAGTAGTTGTGGCATTTTACATTCCCATTAGAAGAGTATGAGGATCCCCATTTTTCCACATCTTCTTCATCAATACTTCTGTCTATCTTTTTTATTATACGCATCTTAGTGGGTATGACTTGGTATCTAATTTTGGCTTTGATTTGCATATATTTCTAATTCTAATTGTTCTGTGTGATTCTTTTCCAAATCTGGCTTCTCACTTTTTACAGTCTGTTTTTTGCTCATTTTTCTTTGTTTTTTGCATTTTATTTTTAAAAAAACTTTATATATATGCACACACATAGAATTATATGTGAAATATAGTAGGTCATTAAATATCAAATGTCCAATTTCAAATCAAAAGTGTAGTTTATTGTATCTCAAATAAGAAGCAGTATAATTAATCAAAGTATACACCTAAACTATCCACACAGTTTTGCCGTCTTAACAGTAGCTTAATCATGCCTGCAGTGCAGCCTGGAGAGTGAGTAGTGATGAAATTGGGAAAGGCATTTTCCACAGCATGTTGAGAATTGAATATTTTTCCTTGCAAGACGTGGTCCAAAGCCTGGAAGAGGTAGCAGTCAGTGGGTGCAAGGTCTGGGGAATACAGTGGGAGACGGTTTCTGAGTCCAGCTGCTGTGGTTGAGCAGTGTTTGTGTGACATGTGGTTGAGTATTGTCTTGTAAGAGGATCGGCCTGTCTCTGTTGACCGATCTCGGCTGCCTAATTGAAAGCATCCTCATCACTTCATCCAGTTGGTCGCAGTAGACATCTGCTGTAATCGACTGACCAGGTTTCATGAAGCTGTGGTGGATAATACCAGCGCTGGACCACCAGACAGACACCGTTAGCTTTTTTTGACGAACATTCGGATTTGGTCTGTGTTTTGGCACTTCATCTTTATCCAGCCACTGTGGCGAACACTTGTGATTGTCAAAAAGAATCCATTTTTCATCACGCGTCACAATACGGGGTAGAAGTGGTTCACCTTTATGTTGCGACAGCAAAGAAAGGCAAGCTTCCGGACCATTTCTCTTCTGACGCTCGTTTAATTCATGGCAGAACTCGTCTGTCCAGCTTCTTTACCTTGCCCATCTGTTTCAAATTGTCTGATGTTGTCGGAACAGTAACGTCAAACCTTGCTGCTAACGCACGCCTAGGTTGAGGTGGATTCCTTTCCATGACAGCTTTCAGCTCACCATTCTCCACCTTGGTCTCAGGTCTCCCACGTGGCTCCTTTTCAAGATTAAAATCACCAGAATGGAACATCTCAGCCATCGATGTACTGTGCATTCATTAGCCACGTCCTTCCCAAACACTTTGTCGATATTTTGAGTTGTGTGCTGTGCATCATCAGTTCCACGACGGAACTAATATTCAAAAATAACACGGAATTTCGACTTAATCTGTAGTTTCACAAAAATTGCTCTTAAAAAAAAGTGAAAGATAATCATAAGCCAGAACATGCATTTGAAAGGCTGAGGATGTACCTTTGCAATAAAAATAAAACAAGATGTGTCAAAGTGAAATGTGAGAGAGATTAACTATCAAACTTAGTACTTGAGGAAACCGGACATTTCATACTTAATAACTTAATATATAATGTGTTAAGAAATACAATTATATATAATATATAATTATTTTATGTCTCGTATGTGTTAATTCTAGTAAGTGGAGTCTGTGGTGTTTTAAATCTGTTGTTTGTTGCTTTTGCTGACTTTCACTCATGGTGGCTTCTTTCCTTGTGCATTTAGTGATACTTTATTTTTATGAGAATTTTTTATTTTGAGTTTTTATCTGGCTGAACTTTGTGGAATTCACTATTAGGAATGCTTTCAGCTGAGCATGGTGGTTCTTGCCTGTTATCCCAGCATTCTGGGAGATAGAGGCAGGAGTGTCAACTTGAGGCCAGGAGTTTGAAGCCAGGAATGCTTTCTTTCAGAAACAACCTGCATTTGTTTCTGGTGGAAGCTCACAGTTTTTATTAACCCAAGAGCACTTCATCAAGTGACCATACATCTTGCTTTGTCTCAGACAGGTTTGGCTTAAGGCTATTGTCCCCAAAATAGTTTTGTTTTTTTTTTTAAACAGAGTCTCACTCTGTTACCCAGGCTAGAATGCTGTGGCCTCAGCCTAGCTCACAGCAGCCTCACACTCCTGGACTCAAGCAATCCTCCTGCCTCAGCCTCCCAGGTACCTGGGACTACAGGCATGCACCACCATGCCTGGCTAATTTTTTCTATATATTTTTAGTTGTCCAGCTAATTTCTTTCTATCTATTTATTTATTTATTTTAGTAGAGATGGGGTCTCGCTCTTGTTTAAGCTGGTGTCAAACTCCTGAGCTCAAACGATCCTCATGCCTTGGCCTCCCAGAGTGCTAGGATCACAGGCGCAAGCCACCGCACCCAGCCCCCAAAATAGTATCCATAGCACTTCCTTTCCCTGTCAGTTACCTGGGTTTGGAAAGTAACTTATGTGGTTACTCGTGACTTTGGTTCCTGCGCAGTTCGGGAGCGTGGCATCAGTGGGGCCTGGCGTTGGGCTGGCTGGGTGCTGCCCTCAGATAGCCTCTGTGTGCACAGCCGGCCATGGCCGCGCTCACTTCTCCATCCATCGCCACCTCCCTTTGTGTCCCTGGGAGAACTCTCCCACTTCCTGTATGCCCAGTCATACTTTAAAACTAAGTTTGTTACAAGTTTTCTAGAGTCTGGTTTTATTATAGTGAAATACTCCTGTAGTATTTGGTGCCATATTGCCACATTGGTCACTGCTTTTATGTATTTATTTATTTAGAGACAGGGTCTCACTCTGTCACCCAGGCTAGAGTGCAGTGGCACCATCATAGCTCACTACAGCTCAAAGGATCCTCCTGCCTCAGCCTCCCCAGTATGTGGGGCTACAGGCGCACCCAGCTAACTTTTCTGTTTTTTGTAGAGATGGGGTCTCACTATGTTGCTTAGGCTGGTCTCGAACTCCTGGCCTCAAGTAATCCTCTCACCTTGGCCTCCCAAAGCACTGGGATTACAGGTGTGAACCTCCACACCTGGCTGGCACTTTTTTATCAGACTGCTCTCCTGCCCCACACGCCTCCTCATGCCTCACTGTTCCTGTTCGAGGCCCCGTCCTGCTCTGTTACCTTTCATAGCACCGTGTGCCTTCACCTCCAGCATCTGCTGCAGTTCCGGTCTCGCGGTTCCTGGCGATTGCTGTCCCCCCGTGCCTGTCTGTGTCCATGTGGCCGTGTCCCTGCACAGGGCGGCGTCACCGAGGAAGGGGCCTTCTAAGGCGGCTTTACTCTTGCGGACTTTTATCCTTTCCTGGGTACAGGAATCATCATCATCTTTTTTTATATTTGGGTTTTAGTCTGTGAATTGATGGGCAACTGGAGTTTTAAAAATTCCTGTTTTATGTGTTAGTTCTCACAGCAAGGCAGAAGGAATTGGTTTTGAGGAATTCAGCTTGGCCAATTGCAGCAGCTTCAAGTCCCTCTGGTCAACTGTTTGCCCCCGAAAGGGTGAGGGCATAAATTCCAGATGAAAATGACCTCTTTTTTTTTTTTTTTTTTTTGAGACAGAGTCTCGCTTTGTTGCCCAGGCTAGAGTGAGTGCCGTGGCGTCAGCCTAGCTCACAGCAACCTCAAACTCCTGGGCTCAAGCGATCCCTCCTGCCTCAGCCTCCTGAGTAGCTGGGACTACAGGCATGCACCACCATGCCCGGCTAATTTTTTATATATATATATCAGTTGGCCAATTAATTTATTTCTATTTATAGGGGTCTCGCTCTTGCTCAGGCTGGTTTCGAACTCTTGACCTCGAGCAATCCGCCCGCCTCAGCCTCCCAGAGTGCTAGGATTACAGGCGTGAGCCACCGCGCCCGGCTGAAAATGACCTCTTTATACCATTGTGGGTTTTACTGTATGTTTCCCCAGTCCTTTATGAGTAGGCCATTTGCATTTGAATTTGTATTTTTACTTTTTGCCTATTTAGCACTGGTAGGGTATTTTTATCATGTAAGTGGATTGCTGAAAGCCAGGAGACAGGGTTTTCTATTCCAGTTTTCCATTGTGGATATTTTTTCTATGCATAAGTAGGCCGATGTATCCATAACAGTGTTGATTTAAAATGTATGATTTAGCTCTGTGCTTAATTTGACTTTGTCTTTTATAGGTAATGCAAAAGGACCATGTGTGTGCTATCAAGATGGCGGGCACCCAGCCTTTACGACAAGAAACGAGTTTCCACTGCATAAGTTTTTGTCTACACCATGAAGTATTTAATAGTAGAACTCCTGGAAAGCGGTGACCACTGCTCTAAGATGATGTGTTCACATGAGCTACTTACTCTATTTCTCAGTAATATTTATGATCAGCCATATTCATAGAAGCATCCTGAAAGATGGGATTATTATGAAAAAGTGAAGATAATCTACATTTGGGGGCACAAATGAGCATTTGGATCAACTTTTTATTGGCCTAAGATGTTAATATGATGAAGCAGCCAGAATAGTTATGGTCAGTCATGGAGGATAACCTGGAAACTTGTCCCAAAGGGGACAGTGATTTTGTTTCTGATAAAATAAATTTTAAAATAGAAGAAGAAGATGATGATGATCCAACTCCTGCACACAGTCTGGAAAGAGTGGACCTTAAAAGGGAGCGAGAGGACATGAATCAGACGGACAGCAGCGATGAGCAGGCGGAGGCCAGAGAGGCGAGCTGCAACGGGAAGCCCCCTGGGAAGCACCTGCCCCCCGAGAGCGAGGATGACTACGGGTCTCTGTTCTCCCAGTACAGCAGCACGCTGTACGACGTCGCCATGGAAGCCGTGACGCAGAGCCTCCTCTGCAGCCGAAACATAAGCTCCAGGAAGAAGTCCCCGGCTTGGAAACATTTCTTTATCTCTCCTCGGGATAGCACTAAAGCAATATGTATGTACTGCATGAAAGAGTTTAGTAGGGGTAAAAACGAGAAGGACTTAAGTACAAGCTGTCTCATGAGGCACGTGCGTCGAGCACACCCCACCGTGCTCATTCAGGAAAACGGGAGCCTGTCCGCCGTGTCCTCCATCCCGTCCCCCTCGCTCCTGCTTCCGCCGCAGCCCGCAGAGGCGGGAGACCTCAGCACCATACTCTCGCCCATCAAGCTTGTCCAGAAAATGGCACCCAAGATCCCATCCCCCGATCGGATAACGGAGGAATCCGTGTCTGCGGTTTCTTCTGAGGAAGTCTCCTCCGACATATCCGGTTCTGAGAAGTACGGCCGGGAAGAAGCCCTGGTGGGGTCGTCTCCCCACCTGCCCCCTCTCCATTACGACGAAGCCACAGAGCACACGGCAGAGAAGAACCTCCCCCTGCCAAAGAGCACGTCCGGGTCCAGGAGGAGGTCTGCCGTCTGGAAGCACTTCTACCTGTCGCCCCTGGACAACTCCAAAGCCGTCTGCGTCCACTGCATGAACGAGTTCAGCCGGGGCAAGAACGGGAAGGACCTGGGCACCAGCTGCCTCATCAGGCACATGTGGCGCGCGCACCGCTCCATCGTGCTGCAGGAGAACGGCGGCGCGGGCGTCCCCGCCCTCTACTCCGCCCCGCCCACCCTCCTGCCCGCCCTGCTGTCCCCCGAGGGGGATCCGAGCTCCACGTCCTCGTCCCCAGGAAAGCCGGGCAGAGAGACCCCTTCCGCTTCTTCCTCTCCCGACCGGCTGGCGGAAGACCTGCCGTCACATCTGAGCCCCGGAGACGCGCTGCTGGAAGCCGTGTCCGTGTTGTCGTCCTCCGGTGACGTCGGGGAGGCCCCCGCGTCCTCTCCCGAGAAGCAGCCGGCCCACGGGTTGCGGCCCCGAACGTTTGAGTCCGGTGCCGTCTTCCAGCAGAACAAGAAGGTCATGAGGAGACTGAAGTCGGAAGTGTGGCATCACTTCTCGCTGGCGCCCATGGACAGCCTCAAGGCGGTGTGCAGGTACTGCAGCTGCGTCATCAGCCGCGGGAAGAAGGGCGACGTGGGCACCAGCTGTCTGATGCGGCACCTGTACAGGCGCCATCCTGAGGTCGTCGGGAGCCAGAGGGCCTTTCTGGGTGCGGGCCTGGCCAATTCTCCGTATGCCACTTTGGCTTCTGCAGAAAGTTCCTCCTCCAAACTGACTGACTCGCCAGCCATGGTCACAAAAACGAATCAGGTTATGTTTCCAGTTAATAGCAAAAAGACCTCAAAGCTGTGGAATCACTTTTCTATTTGCTCCGCAGACTCCACTAAAGTCGTGTGCTTGCACTGCGGCCGGACTATCAGCAGAGGGAAGAAGCCCACCAACCTGGGCACCAGCTGCCTCCTGAGACACCTGCAGAGGTTCCACGGCAACGTGCTGAAGACCGACGCCTCGGAGACAGCACGGCCCTCCCCCCCGGACAGGCGTGCGCCGCCAAGCACGGAGTCGTCAGGAGTTTCCTCCTTCGATGACACCAACGAGAAGTTTTATGATTCTCACCCCGTTGCCAAAAAAATCACCAGTCTCATAGCTGAAATGATCGCACTTGACCTTCAGCCATATTCCCTTGTAGACAATGTTGGCTTTAACAGGCTGCTCAAATACTTGAAACCTCAGTACTCCCTGCCCTCCCCGTCTTACTTCTCCAGGACGGCCATCCCAGGCATGTACGACAATGTGAAGCAGGTCATCATGTCGCATCTCAAGGAAGCCGAGAGTGGTGTGATCCACTTCACTTCTGGAATATGGATGAGCAGCCAGACCCGCGAGTACCTGACCCTCACGGCCCACTGGGTCTCCTTCGAGTCCTCGGCGCGCCCGCGCTGCGAGGACCACCACTGCTCGGCGCTGCTGGACGTGTCGCAGGTGGACTGCGACTACAGCGGCAACAGCATCCAGAAGCAGCTGGAGTGCTGGTGGGAGGCCTGGGTGACCTCCATCGGCCTGCAGATCGGCATCACGGTGACCGACAACCCGAGCATCGGAAAGACGCTGAACGACGGGGAGTACACGAGCGTGCAGTGCTTCAGCCACACGGTCAACCTGATCGTGAGCGAGGCCATCAAGAGCCAGAGGATGGTGCAGAACCTGCTCAGCATCGCCCGCAAGGTCTGCGAGCGGGTGCAGCGGTCGCCGCGCGCCAAGGAGAAGCTGGCGGAGCTGCAGCGGGAGTACGCGCTGCCGCAGCACCACCTCATCCAGGACGTGCCGTCCAGGTGGAACACGTCGTTCCACATGCTCGAGCGGCTCGTCGAACAGAAGCGGGCCATCAACGAGATGTCGGTGGAGTGTAACTTCAGAGAGCTGATCAGCTGCGACCAGTGGGAGGTCATGCAGTCCGTGTGCCACGCGCTGAAGCCCTTCGACGCGGCGAGCAGGGAGATGAGCGCCCACGTGTCCACCCTCAGCCAGGTCATCCCCATGATCCACATCCTCACCAGGAAGGTCGAGATGCTCTTCGGGGAGACGATGGGCATCGACACCATGCTGAAGTCCTTGAAGGAAGCCATGGTGAGCCGGCTGGCCGCCACCCTCCACGACCCCAGGTACGTCTTCGCCACGCTGCTGGACCCCCGTTACAAAGCCTCCCTGTTCACAGAGGAGGAGGCGGAGCAGTACAAGCAGGACTTAATCAGGGAACTAGAAATACTGAATTCTACCTCAGACGACACGCTTGCCTCCAACGGGCGTGCCGCAGGCTCCCCGTCGAAAGACTCGACCGGAGAGGAGAGCCTGTGGTCGCTCATGGCCAAGATGAAGAAGAAAGGTCCGAGGGAGAAGCTACCCGAGGACATGGTGCTCGCATACCTGGAGGAGGAGGTGCTGGAACACGGCTGTGACCCACTCGCCTACTGGAACCTCAAGAAGTCGTCCTGGCCGGGGCTGTCGGCTCTGGCCGTCAGGTTTTTGGGCTGTCCCCCAAGTATCGTCCCTTCAGAAAAGCTGTTCAGCACGCCCACTGAGAACGGCAGCTTCGGCCAGTCCAGGCTCATGATGGAACATTTCGAAAAACTTATCTTTTTGAAAGTGAACCTCCCCTTAATCTACTTTCAGTATTGAAGCTCACAGCGGAGCCCCAGACTGGCGATGTCGTTGCTTCTTGGGCATCGGCGGTTGGTGCCGGGCTGCGACTCCGCCCGGGGCCGCGCGGCCTCAGACCAGGCACTCTCAGGGCCGACTCCAGCTCTCGCCGAAACTCTGCAGGTGCCTTACTCCTCCCACTCCTTCAGGCCAGGTAGCGCGGTGTGTTTTTTAAGAAGTCCGCTAGAAATAGCTTGTATTGTCCACTATGAAATACGATGACTAGGTTTTAATTCATAACTGTAAAGTTTTTTAAAAGCTGGGATTTAGTAATTTGTTTTGCTAGAACGGCAGAAAAGATGTAAATAATTTTTATTCTGTAGGCTTTTTACTCAATTATGTAAAAAAAAAAAAAAACCCACAAATCAGGTACTGTATTTTAGTTAAACATTGCTTTAATTGCAACAAAGCAGCTTTTGTGGCTGTCAGATGAAATCTGTAAATAGGAGGTGGAGGTCAAGCCATCCTGACTGAGCAGTTCTTAACTGCAGGCTCTAAAGTATGTCTAGGAGTACAGAGAATATTCTGGAAGGTAACTGTTTACTGCAACAGAGACGTGGCATTTGAAAACAGAACTAAACTTCAATATATCCTGGAGTGTCAGTTACGTGGTTACTTGGTAACAAGAACTTTCCCATTTCAGGTCTTTGCGTTTAGGTTTTACATGGTCAGTTAACTCAGAGAGATCTCAACTGTTTATCATGAGCACCTTTGAAATCTGGTCTGAATTTATACATTCGCGCTCATTGTTTAGCCAGTGCATAATGTGACTTGTTCACAGCAGAGGGTCTGCTGTTTAAATCTCCACGCCTCTGATTTAGTGTCTCTGCGCTAGGAAGCTGTCTTTTAAAATGTGTGCACTGATCAAATTATGTGTAGAATTCTTTTTAGAAGAGATGGCTTATTAACAGGGAAGAAGCTGGTTATATTACAGCTGTAAGAGTATTCTTAGGTGTTTAGATTTTTTTTTATGATAGGGAAGATTCAGCCATCGCTGGGATATCTTAGAATCCCACGGACATCAGAATGAAGTATTGGTTGTCAGATTCTTTTAATAATTATGTCTTCAGAATTTTTTGCTTTATCTTAAGGTTAAGTTTCTCATTTCAAACCTATTAAATATTCTGGGTGAGACAAATCACTCACTTGCCTACGACTTTTTAGAAAAGTTACTGTTTTGTTAAAATACTGTACCTATGCTTAATCTAAAGTTGCATTGACTGTTTTAGTGTATTTATAAATGGTGAACTCAGTTTCTGAAATTAAACTTTTTATTTGGAATTTTCTAGTGCTGGCAGACACTGGCTTTTTATTTTTAGGGTAATAAAGCAGGCACCCTCTTTGTGGGCCAATATCCAAGAACCAGACCGACGTAGCATTTGAAATTCACCCTAACCCCATGGCGGCACTGGCACAGTGGAGATGTGATTGTCACAGCAGCCATGCTGGTCACGGTGCTGACGATGGCGGGAACTGTCCAGGTCTTGTGTCCAGAGCGAGTGTTGTTCCGAGGGTGGTGCCAGAATGGAAGAGCCCAGCGAGCAGCCCAGTGGGTGGCCGCGCCCTCCCCCGCAGTTACTGCGCACTTGTCCCCTGAGACCAGTCTGTTTCTGGAGTGCTCAGGGACAGGGCCGCGGGAGGTGGATCCCACCGACCACCCGGCTCCCTCACCCGCAGCTCCATCGCAGCTCCCCTGGGGTGGGAGGGGGTGGAGGGGGGTAGGGGCAACAGTTCCTGCCCAGCCTTGGCCGTGCCGCTGCAGGACAGTATCTGGGATGGTAGCAGGCTCAGAATTCTGGGATACTGAGCTACACGACTTTTCCCTCTAGGACGAGCCGGTGTAACTCACGGGCAGAATCGTATCCAGGCAGTCTCTCAGCAGTGCAGTGCCTCCTGCTCGGGGCCTGTGCTGGCTTCTGGGACGCAGCAGCGATCGCTGTGCAGAGCCGCAGTCTAGGCCCGGGAACAGTGGCAGACTGCAGCCCCGGGCCTGGTCTGGCACTGTGCCTGTTTCCCTAAGTGAAATGTCCCTGGGATACGTAGCCATTCCTGTGCCTGTTGTCCGCCGCCACCTTCACGCTGCTCCAGTGGAATTGAGTGATCGTGGCAGAGATCACGGGGCTGAAAAGACTCACTAGCTCTTTTCAGGACACATTTGTTGGCCCCTGCGCTGGCCTGCCTTTCTGCTCAGTTTCTAAACTTCCATCCCCTGCTGCTGTTTTTAGTTAAAGTGTCCTAAGTGAGGATTGCAGATAAACACGGCCTCTCTGGAGCTGACATTAGGAAAGTCGTCCTGCCTTGTCCGATCTGTTCCTTGGGTCGGTGGACGTTTGTGGATAGCAACCGTGTTGGGCACTGAGGACATGGCCGAGCTGTCCTGTCATCCAGTGACAGTCCTGCAGGAGGACACAGGCCCAGTGCCACCAGCGTGTGTCAAGCCTCACTGCTCAATCGGGGGGCTGTGGTGCCACAAGGAGACGCCTTTGTTCTCAGCCATTCCCACCTCTGCTCTCTGTTCAGACCTCAGTTGTGAGCTGTTTGCCTCCCTGCCTCTGGGTGATATTTTGGGTAGGTTCCTTAATTTCTCAGGATTCTCTCAGATAATAAAAAGCGCTTTGTGTCAGCCTCACAACTGTCTCGTTTTGGAGTATGAAATTCCCCTTCTTTATTGTCTAAAACACTGAACTTCACTTGAAGCTAAAATCTCCTTCCCTTCCACTTCTGACTGTGAGGCAGCAGGTGGTATCAGACCAGCCCTCTCCCGAAACAGGGCCACATAAAACGCATTTTTAAGAAGAGCTTTCTGAAGACATCACAGAGTCTTCAAGGCAGCCAAGATGTGAGGGACTTGAGGGAACACGATCCTAGTGAGAAGAGACTTGCATAAAGGGGAGTCCTGTGTTCACATCTTTTTTTCCTGTGGGAACATTTGCTGGTGTCCCGACTGTCCGGCCTAACAGAGGTGGTGACACCGGGCCGTGGAGACCGGCAGTGGCACCGGCACTGCTGCGCTGGCCAGGACTGCGGGGGCTGAGATCTGGGAGGAAGGGCGCCTCGGACACATGGCCCAGGCTGCTGTGCCCAGCGGCCCCGGGCAGGTGCTGGCGTGAGCCATGCTGCGCCTGGCCTCAAACTAGTTTTTTTTTTTTTTTTTGAGACAGAGTCTCGCTTTGTTGCCCAGGCTAGAGTGAGTGCCATGGCGTCAGCCTCGCTCACAGCAACCTCAAACTAACTCCTGGGCTCAAGCAATCCTCCTGCCTCAGCCTCCCGAGTAGCTGGGACTACAGGCATGCGCCACCATGCCCAGCTAATTTTTTATATGTATATTAGTTGGCCAATTAATTTGTTTCTATTTATAGTAGAGACGGGGTCTCGCTCTTGCTCAGGCTGGTTTCGAACTCCTGACCTAGAGCAATCCGCCCACCTCGGCCTCCCAAAGTGCTAGGATTACAGGCGTGAGCCACCTCGCCCGGCCTCTCAAACTAGTTTTTAAAGATAGTTTTGTCTTAAAACAATCTCCATCTTGGAGGAACATAAGAAAACCTTTTCCCCAGAACCATTTGGGAGCAAGTTGCCCCCAGACGCCCACGGCCCCCGAGTCCCCACACCGGACATCCTCGTCCCCAGTCAACCACCAGACCCTGGAGACTCGCCTTGCGCTGCGTGCCAGGGGACGCAGGAGGGGCGGGGGAGCCCTGGACCCCACACAGCCAGGGGACAGCAACACCCGGGCCCCAGGCCCCGAGTGGCATCGTGGCCTCCGCTCCCAGGCCGCAGCAGAGCCCTGGAGGCTGCTGGGCTGGCTGCTTTCCACGGCGGAGCCCAGGCACCGCACCCCAAGGCGTGTGATGGTGGCTGCCCCGACAACAGGTTTCTAGCACGAGGATTCAGTCCCGAAGCTTAGGTTGCGTCTAGTGGGCGCGTCTCGGATTTCCTCCAGTCTGGAATATTCCTCAGTGTTCCCCTGGTTTCCGTCACCGTGGCGCTCTTGACAGGAACAGGCCCGTCGTTTTGTGGAGTGTCCCTCCAGCGGGCTCGTCCAGTGTCTGCTCACAATTAGATGAGGGTCACGCATCTTTGGCAGAACATCCCGGAAGTGATGCTATGTTCTCTGCGGCCCTGCCAGGTGGCACTGGGGGTCCCCTTGTGCCATCGACCTCTTTGTTCACTTGGTTAAAGACGGCATCTGCCAAGTTTCTCACTGTGAAGGTATTTTGTCTTTGTTAAAAGATAAAACTTGTGTGGGTGCTCTTTGAGAAAATGTAAATATCCTGTTCCTCGTAAAACTTCCTTCATTTATATCAGTGTGGCCTCAGGGTTTCCTATCTAACGTACAAGTTACCTATTAACTGTCATTTTGCTCAAATTTTCCAGATCTGACCGGTGGGAACCCCTCGGTCTGCCTTCTGTGTCCTGTTGACCGGTCTCCATTGTTTGAGCACGTCCTTCTTTTCTGGGGAGAAGATCCTCCATGTTCATTCTCTGTCTGCCCTGCCTTGCCCTGGAGCCATTTTTCCCCAAGGCGCCATCTTTCCTTTCACTGGAGGAAGCCAAGGCCAGCGGCCGGGTGTGCTTGTTGCTGCTGGGCTGTGGTCGCTCATCGGGACTCTCAGGGCACACACACGTTTACGTTTGTATGTGTCTAGCTGTGTTAGAACCACGCTTCACACCAGTACCTCCAACACCACAGGCTTCTTTCTAGCGTTCTTCCTTTCTATCCTTATAGCTCCTTTCTCAGACTCTCATCCTTAATATATTTACTTGAAAAGCCCCCTTGGTGGGGACTTGCCGCCACCCCTTCCCACATCAGATGCCCTCTGTCCCGCTCGGGCTCCCACGCCAGGCTGTTGAACCCTACTCTGTCTCCCACCTGTGGAACCTCCTCTCCGTGCCTGGTCCCCAAGCCCAGGTGTTGGGCTGCTCTGAGTGCTGCCTTTCTCGGGGTACGTGGTCTCTGGCACCCTTGCTGGCCACAGTGCCTCCCCCTACCCTTCTGTGGCAGCTTGCCTTGCTGGGCCCTCCCTAATGGTTTTCGCACTGAATTTTGGGGGAAAGAAAGTAGACGAGCTTTAGGCTCTTCTCCCCATGGGGGCGTTTGCCAATGGTCACGTCAACCATGGGATCAGATGCATAACCACAGGTACCAAGAGACAATGTCTTCATGTGCTCTCGATGCAGTGTGAAGGGCAGAGGTCCACATACGAGGTGGTCTTGCCACAAAAAGACTTAACCTGAATTTATTCAAGCCTTTCCACTTAATTTCTGGGTTACAAGCAGTACAGGGAATATAGGACCAAGTTAAATAACAGCAGGAGGAAATAATGAGACAAATCTATAATGAACATTCCACAAGGCACTTGGGATAGACATTTTAAAAGTTAATGTCACAGAGCTGGGCACAGTGGTTCACGCCTATAATCCCAGCCACTTGAGAGAATGAGGTAAGAGGATTGCTTGAAGCCAGGAGTTCAAAACCAATTAGGCAACACAGCAAGATCTCATCTCTAAAAATATAAAAATAAATTTTTAAAAAAGTTAATGTCACAGAAGTCTCTAATGATCAATAATTTAAATGTAAATATATATAGTAAACTCTCCAATCAAAAGACAGAGACTGACAGAATGGATAAAAATAAATTTAAAAAACATGATCAAACTATATGTTGTCTGTGGGGGACTCACTTTAGATCCAGAGACACACATAGGTTGAAAGTAAAAGGATGGAAAAGGATATTCCATGCAAATAGTAACCAAAAGATAGCAAGGGAAGCTACACTAATATTAGACAAAATAGACTTTAAATAGGGATATTATACATTAATAAAAGGTTCAGTATAGCCAGGAGATATAACAATTATAAACATTGTGCATCTAATAACAGACCATCAAAATAGAGTCATCCATCACTCAACCACAGGGACATGTTCTGAGAAATGTGTTAGGTGATTTTGTCATTATGTGAACGTCATAAGTGTAATCACACAAGCCTAGATGGTATATGCCTGCTATACACCTAGGCTATGTGGTATGGCCTATCGCTCCTGGGCTACAAAGCTATACAGTGCATTACTGAATACTACAGGCAGCTGTAACACAGCAGTATTTAAGTATCTAAACATAGAAATGGTACAATAAAAATATAAAATAATCTTATGGTACCACAGTAGTATATGTGGCCCACTATTGACCAAAATGTCATTATGGAGTGCATAACGTATATGAAGCTAAAAATGACACAATTAGAGGGAAGATAGCTCTACAATAATAGAGACTCAAATACCCCACAGTCAATAATAGATATAATAATCAGAAAATAAGGAAAAAGAGACTTGAACAGAACTGTAAACCAACTAGATCTAACAAAAGAACACTACCCAACAACAGAACACACATTCTTCTCAAGTGCACATGGGACATTTTCCAGGACAGACTATATGTTAGGTCATAAATTAAGCCAATAGATCGAAAAAGATAGAGACATCATACAAAATATTTTCTCTTGCCACGATGGGATGAAATGAGACATCGGTAACAAAAGGAAAACCGGAAAATTCACAAATTTGTAGAAATTAAACAACACACTCAAACAACCAGTGGATCAAAGAAGAAATCACAAGGAAAGTTAGAAGATACTTAAATACTTAGAGATGAATGAAAATGAAATCAACATGCCGAAACTTATGGAACACAATGAAAGCAGTGCTAAGAGAAAACTTATACCTAAAAACATGTTGAAAAACAAGAAAGATCTCAAACCAACAATCTAACTTTGGCCGGGCGTGGTGGTGCACGCCTGTAATCCTAGCACTCTGGGGGTCCGAGGCAGGCAGATTGCTCAAGATCAAGAGTTAGAAACCAGCCTGAGCAAGACCCCGTCTCTACTAAAAATAGAAAGAAATTAATTGACCAACCAAAAATATATATACAAAAAATTAGCCAGACATGCTGGCGAACGCCTGTAGTCCCAGCTACTTGGGAGGCTGAGGCAGGAGGATTGTTTGAGCCCAGGAGTTTGAGGTTGCTGTGAGCTAGGCTGATGCCACGGCACTCACTCTAGCCTGGGCAACAAAGTGAGACTCTGTCTCAAAAAAAAAAAAAAAATCTAACTTTACAACTTAAGGAACTGGAAAAATCCAAACAAACAACCCAAATAAACAGAAGGAAGGAAATAAAGATTAGAGATAAATGAAATAGAGAATGGAAAAACAGCAGAGAAAATTGAAGCCAAGAGTTGATTCTTTGAAAAAAATCAACAAAATTGACAATCTTCAGGTAGATTGACTAAGAAAAAAGAGAAAATATTCAAATTACTAAAACCAGAAATGAAAGTAGGGACATTAATACCAATGCTACAGAAATAAAAAGGATTATAAGATTGTACTATGAGTTGTACACCAACAAATTGAATAATCTAGATGAAATGGAAATATTTCTAGAAACACAAAACCTGCCAAGACTAAACCATGAAGAAATAAAACTCTGAATATCCCCTGTAACTCCTAAGGATATTGAATCAGTAATCAAAAATTTCCCAGTAAAGAAAAGCCTGGACTTGATGGATTCTCCAGTGAATTCTACCACATATTAAAGAACTAACATGAATCCTCAAACTTTTCTAAACAATTGAGGAGGGAACAATCCCTAACTTAGTTTGTGAGGCTAAGCATTACCTTGATTCCAAACCCAGAGAAAGACACTACAAGAAAACTAGTGGCTGGGCATGGTGGCTCACACCTGTAATCCCAGCACTTTGGGAGACTGAGGTGGGAGGATCACTTGAACCTAGGAGTTCAAGACTAGCCTGAGTAACATAGTGAGACCCTATATCTAAAAAAAAAAAAAATTCTTAATTAACCAGGCATGGTGGCATGTGCCTGTAGTCCCAGCTACTAGGGAGGCTGACATGAGAAGATCTCTTGAGCAGGAGGTCGAGGCTGCAGTGACATATGATCACGCCACTGCACTCCAGTCTAGGCAACAGAGCAAGACCCTGTCTCTAAAAAGAACAATAAAATCCTACAGAACAATACATATCCTTTATCAGCACTGATTCAAAAGTCAACAAAATATTAGCAAACCAAATTCAGCGGCATATTAAAAGGATTACACACCTGACCAAGTGGGATTTATTCTTGGAATGCAAGGATGGTTCAACATATGAAAACTGATCAATGTAATATACCATCTTAACAGAATGAGGAAGAAAAAACAGATGATCATCTCAATTGATGCAAAAAAGCATCTGACAAAATTCAGCACCCTTTCATGATAAAAGCATTCAAACTAAGAATAGAAGGGAAACCTCAATATAATAAAAGCCATATATTAAAACCCACAGCAAATATCATACTCAATGGTGAAAGACTTAAAGCTTTCCCTTTAAGATTAGGGACAAGGCAAAGATGCCTACTTTTACCACATCTATTCCATGTAGTACTGGAAGTCCTAGCCAGAGTAATTAGGCAGGAAAAAGAAATAAAAGGCATCTAAATTGGAAAGGAGGAAGAAAAATTATTTCTGTTCACAGATAACATACTCATATGTAGAAAGTCCTTAAGATCTCATGCACACAAAACTACAGAAATAATAAATGAATTCAGCAAAGTAGTAGGATACAAAATCAACATGCAATGATCAATTGCATGTCTATACACTGACAACAAACAATCCAAAAAAAGGAAATTGAGAAAATATAACAGCATTAAAAAGAATAAAGTACTTAGGAATCAACCAGGGAGATGAAAGACACGTACAATGAAAACTACAAACATTTCTGAAAGAAATTAAAGAAAACGTAAATAAATGGAAAGACACCCCATGTTCATGAATTGGAAGGTTTAATATGGTTAAGATGTCAGTAGCCTTTTTTGTTGTTGCTGCTGATAGCACACACGCAAACTTGGCGAACGTCCCTAAAATCCGCCAGACTTTCTGTAAGAAATGTGGCCAGCACCAACCCCACAAAGTGACATAGTACAAGGGCACAGATTCTCCGTATGCCCAGGGAATGCGGCAATTGTGATAGGAAGATGAGTGGCTTTGGTGGGCAGACTAAGCTGATTTTTCAGGAAAAGGCTAAAACTACAAAGAAGAATGTGCTGAAGCTTGAGCGTGTTGAGTTCAAATGCAGATCTAAGAGAATGCTGGCTATTAACCACCTCGGTACCAGCGTCGACTATAGTCAACAGCCACAGAGGAACGCACACAGCGACTTTAGCTGACAGCCGTGATATGAAGGCCCACAGCCGGGCGTAGACTTTAGCCGACAGCCGTGTTATGACTTTTCTAATTTTTCATGTATCAAAATAAAATTGTGAACATTTAAAAGTAACATAAGGAAAACATATATGTACATGTTACCTATTCTGATATTTACAAGTAAAGCTGCCTGTAAAGTAAACAAGCCTTCAGTGCTTTAAAGCTTTCCTCAGCACACAAGAGCAAAACGGATTCGTCATCAATGCACAGCACAAACTATCATGTGGACTATGAGAGCCGGCTGTGGGCAAGGTCTCGTGGCCGGTGAGCGCCATACTGAAGTGGTTAAGAGATGCAAGCATTTTTAACTGGGAGGAGATAAGAAGAGAAAGGGCCAAGTGATCCAGTTTTAAGCGTCTTCTGTTTTATTATGAAGACAATACAATCTTGAGATTATGTTAAAAAAAAAAAAGTCAATACTACCCAAAGTGACCTACAGATCTAGTGCAATCCCTATCAAAATCCCAATGACTTTGTTGTTGTTGTTGTTGTTGTTGGAAAAAACAGAAAAATCCATCCTAAAATTCATATGAACTTTAAGGAACCTCACTAAACCAAAATAATCCCAAAACAAAGCTGAAGGACTCACACTTCCTGATTTGGAAACTTACTACAAAGCTACAGTAATCAAAACAGTGTGGTGCAGGCATCAAGATGGGGAAAAGACAGTCTTTTCGACAAATGGTGCTGGGGAAATTGGGTATCTACATGCAGAAGAATGACATTGGACCCTTACGTTATACAATGTATAGAAATTCATTTGAAATGACCAGTGGCCTAAATGTAAGACATTATCTCTGTGTCCTGAGCAGAGATGACGGAGTGCCTTGACCGCTTCGTGACCCGGCCAGCGGCAGGTTATTCCCAGCAGGCTTGAACCCACACCAGGACCTTGAACAGCCCCGGCTCTGATAAAGGTATCTACGTCGTTGCCCAAAACACAGAAAGACACTGGCCGTGGCCTTAAGCCAAATTCCCTAAACCCTCACAATAATCCCCATACTCTGACCCTCTCACTGTGGACGTAACTGAGTGAAACACCCATTTTCTCTTACTGTCCATCACAAGAATTGCTGCATCCTCTGTAAGTTAGTTCCTTTAAGAAATGCTGTGGACTGGTTCTCCTGCCACTCAGTGCTGCTTTCTTTAGAATCCTTGCCAGCCCCACCTCGAGATGTTTTGGGGCACTGCCTTGTGAGAACTCCCCTGCGCTGCTGCAGCTTTTGGAGTGACTCTAGCCAAGTGTTCAGCAGGATAAAATACCTATAAAACATTCCTTAGAGAAATTTTGGAGGACCCAACTAAATAGAGAGAAATACCATGTTCATGGATCAAAAGACTCAATATTGTTAAAATACTGATGCTTCTAAAATTAATCTATAAATCAATGCCATTGCAACTGACTGACCAGTTGATTCTAGAAATCAGAGGGAAATTGCAAGGATGTGGAAGAGTCAAACCAACTTCTAAAAGGAGGGACAGTCAATGGCCATACTGCCCTGAACGCACCCCATCTCATCTGAAAAGGAAGAATAATGTCGGGGACTCCACTACCTCACTTCACGACTTACGAGCAATAGTATACAAGACAGTGTGGTACTGTATAAAGACAGACAAACTTATCCACAGAAAGAAGAGAGTCCGGAATCAGATCCTCACATGAATAGTCAATTAATTCGACTTTGTAAAAAAAAATCTAGTTTATTGAGATATAAAATATGTGATAAAGCAACCTGTCTCTAGTGTACAGTTTCGTGAGTTTTGACAATCGTAACCCTACCACAATGGTCACAGTCTACAAATTTAAAGGGATAGAAAGTGATGGCGGCGGGGGTGGGGGGGACGGTTGTCATAAGACTGAAAGCAAACAGGAAGAAGGAACTCGGCTGCATTTAAAATGAAAAATCACCACACTGGATGGAGGTGGGCACAGGAGAAAAACCAATCGAGGAACTCATCAGTGCACCTCCAGTTGCGGAGGTGGGGCGGAGAACCGCAAACAAATCCCAACCTCTTTATAGTGGATTTCTTTTTGCAATCACATAGCAAAGCATTTCTGAGACTATTTAACGTGTATCCTGTCATTGAGCAAATGTGTGCGTATACTGATACTGCTGGGAGCTGGAGTTCTCGCTGTAGAAGACCAAACATATAGACGTGGAATGGAAGGAGCCCAAAAGGACCTGTGGAGACAGGATGGAATCAGCAGTGTAGGTATGGCTCTGATTTCTCAGAGATGTACATGAATGTGTGTGTATGCGTGAGTACATTGTACATGTATGTGTGTGCATGTGTATGTATATAGGCATGCCTGTAGTCCCTAGTTCTGTCCACAGAACGGGCCTAAAAGCACAAACACTCCAATAGCAATGAGCACACCTAGGCCGGGGACGGTGGCTCATGCCTGTAATCCTAGCACTCTGGGAGGCCAGGGCAGGAGGATTGCTCGAGGCCAGGAGTTCGAGACCAGCCTGAGCAAGAGTGAGACCCCCATCCCTACTAAAAATAGAAAAATTAGCTGGGTGTGGTGGGCATACCTGTAGTCCCAACTCCTCAGGAGGCTGAGGCAGGAGGATTGAGCCCAGGAATTTGAAGTTACAGTGAGCTATGATCCTGCCACTGCATTCTAGCCTTGGCAATAGAGTGAGACCCTGTCTCAGAAAACACACACAAACATACACACACACACACACACACACACACACACACACGCACGCGTGCCTTGTACCTAGATCTTGGTCTCTAAAACCATTCCCCACCAAAGGGAGCCAAAACCCCTCAGAGAAATGGCTGATTCCAGAGGCCCAAGAGGACACCTTGTGCCCGGAAGTAAGGAAGTGCCCCAACAGGGCACACTGCAAGCACAGAGCCCTTCACAGGGTCCCCACTGGTCAGACCTTGTAAAAGCTGGACGCCAAAATAACTAAAGACTAGAATGACTCATAAAACACTGAAGCGGTGATCCACACGCACATACCAACAACAGACAGTATATGAACATGGATGAATAAAGCACACCGATAATAAGCGGATAAACAAACGCCTCCACGGGGTGCCGAGTGCTGCCTGGCGGACGGGGCCCAGGCTGGCGTCGGAAGCCCGTTGTCCTCCCCCGTGAAGGCCGGTCCCCGCAGGACTCACCAGCGGCGCCGAGCTCTGCAGGAGGCGGAGGGTCTCCCGGTCGAAGTGTCGGCACAGACGCTGACCAGCTGCAGATGGAAAGCCGGCAGCAGCTGGGGCAGCGACCCGGCAGCACTTAAGGTCTCATAAGCAACCTACTCTCAAAGAGCTCAGGAAAAAAATTTTTTTTGGTAAGAGACGCGATGGCTCTGTCGCCAGGCTGGAGTGCAGCGCGACATCACAGACGCGATCACGGCTCGCTGCAGCCCCGAGGTCCCGACTCAAGCGATTCTCCCGCGTCAGCCTCCTGAGCAGTGGGGACAGGGAGTGCAGGCACACGCCACTGCACGCGGCAAGGCTGTGCGTGTGCGTGTGGGGATGTGCATGTGTGTGCTTGTGTGCATACGTGTATACGCACATGTATGTACAAGTGCACGCGTGAGTGTACTCGGACACAGTGGCGCCCAGTCCTCTGTGCCGTCTCTAGTGCCTGGCAGTGTCACACGCGCTTTGGGCGCTTTATAAATGCGTGTCCTGTGAAGTGTGGCTGCACCAGCCCGCCCCCTAACCTGGTAAAGGCCGTCTCTGGAGGTAGTCATATACCATAAGATAATGCGTAAGAAAACACTAATTTTATTCTCATTCTTTTTTTTTTGAGGTTCCAATTGACATTTTATTACCTTATTCTTTTTTATTCCTCATTCCTTTCTGAACATGTTCATCTCCTAAGACTGAAGTGGAGGTGACACGCCGGTGAATGCGTACGGAAGTCGGGTGGTGAGGCCGGGAGGGCGGCGCCGCGGCGGGTCACGTCGAGGTCTCCTCCGAGCAGGCGCCACCACGGGCACCCGGCGTGCGGTGCTGCCAAAACGCAGCTCCGTGTGGGCGGGCAGGACGTGGCAAGGGGCGCCACGCGTCCAGGTGTCCGGATGGTCCCAGTCTGGACGACAAATGGTCTTGTCCCCACCCGGGGAACACGCAGGAGAGTGTGAGCAGCCACTGTCCCCCTGGGCTGTGAGCCCTGGGCAAGGCTGTGCCGGAGGCCCCGGCCCTGCTTGGTCAGGCGTGTGTCGGGGCGTGCTGCTGTTGGCTTGTTTCTCTGTTTTGTCCCGATTGTGGGAACGCGGGTGGAGATCGCGTTCCCGGAGGGACCCGGCTGCTGGAGGCCGGGCCGGCTCTCGCCCTCAGGACGGCCCGGGAAGCCTCTCCAGGAGCACCAGCTTGGTCTGCAGGCCGAGGTCAAAGGGAGGCAGTTTGGTCAGGTTCAGACTCACACCTGTGGTGCCCACGACGCTGGCCAGGACCCGGTGCGTGTCCCTGTAGAGGGCCAGGTGGCCGGGCACGGCCTCCATGAGGAGGTGGGTGTAGCCCAGCATGGCCGCGGCCCCCGGCCACACGTCCTCCCTCTTGTCGTACCTGCAAGAGAAGAGCCGGCTAGTCCCCGCCCGTGGCCCTGCGTCACCCCACGTGCCACCCCCGGCATTGGGTGCCCCTAAGGGGACCCATACGCAGCCTGTGAGGAGTGACAACATGTGCGGCCACTCTGGCCGGAAACATACCTCCAGGCGCTGTTGACCTGCAGAAACCGAGACACGCCCGTCTGGGCAGCGGCCACGTCGATGTGTAGGAGGACCCCTGAGGAAACCACACCTGCCGCTCAGCACCCGGTGCCAGCGCCCGCCAGAGCCGGGGCCGGGCCCGGGCAGCATCCCCGGCACTGACCTGTCCAGGGGGGCACCAGCTCGTGCAGCGTCCGCATCGCGACGCCTCCGGGGTAGTTGAAGTGGGACACGTAGAGGGACGCGGCCACGTAGGCGGCGTTCGCCACGAGGTGCCCTATCACCAGCAGGGACCCCGCCTTATACAGCCAGGACTTTCTGTAATTATTCAGCCTGAGAAAGAGAATCATACTCTCTGTAAAAAGAAGACAGTGGCAATGAAGTATCTAATTATCACATCTAGACACGTGTTAGGAACATAACCCTGCTGTTCAACTTCACCAAGTCGTAACACGGCAGAAACGTTCATGATCAAATACATACAATAAATGGTTAATGAAAGTGGCTGAAATACGACAAGAATTTTGTCTGTGAAATTCCACTCAAGATGCCAATTTAGAATTTATATTGGATTTTCAGAATAATATTAGGTTATTAACACATTGCTACACTAGAAAAAATATTTTTTTCCCTTGGGGCCACAGTGTTTTATTATGAAAATAGAATAAAAACTTTGAAAACAAAATGATCCTTTCTAATTTAATGAAAAATTTGTTATTTTTTATTATTTTCTATGAGTTATATACAACTTGAAAAATAGTTCTCGCAATCCCCAAAGTGAAGAGGTATTTGAGTTATGTTTGCTTCATGGGCCCTGGGCTCAAAACTAGCATGAGTTAAATACAACTCACATGGCACTTAATGTATTAAGTATGAAACGTCTGATTTCCTTAAGTATTGTTTGACAGCTGATATCTCTGACATTTCGCTTTGATACCTCTTGTTTTATGTTTATTGAAAAGGTTCATCCACATTTTGGCTTGTGATTATCTGTCACCTTTTTTAAGAGCAATTTTTATGAAACCATAGATAAGTAAAAAATTCATGTTATTTTTGTTCTTTTTCTTTCTTTCTTTTTTTTTTTTGAGACAGAGTCTCACCCTGTTGCCTGGGCTAGAGTGCTGTGGCATCAGCCTAGCTCACAGCAACCTCAAACTCCTGGGCTCAAGTAATCCTCCTGCCTCAGCCTCCTGAGTAGCTGGGACTATAGGCATGCGCCACCATGCCCAGCTAATTTTTTGTATATATTTTTTAGTAGGCCAATTGATTTCTTTCTATTTTTTAGTAGAGACAGGGTCTCGCTCTTTCTCAGGCTGGTCTCGAACTCCTGACCTTGAGCAATCTGCCTGCCTCGGCCTCCCAGAGTGCTAGGATTACAGGCATGACCACCACACCCGGCCCATGTTATTTTTGAATATGAGTTCCATCATGGAATCCATGCTGCACAGACAGCTTGAAATAACAACAAAGTGTTCAGGAAGGATGTGGCTAATGAACACACGGTACGTCTATGGTTTGAGAAGTTCTGTTCTGGTGATTTTTTTTTTTGAGACAGAGTCTCACTTTGTTGCCCAGGTTAGAGTGAGTGCCGTGGCGTCAGCCTAGCTCACAGCAACCTCAGACTCCTGGGCTCAAGCGATTCTCCTGCCTCAGCCTCCGAGTGGCTGGGACTACAGGCATGCGCCACCATGCCTGGCTAATTTTTTATATATATATATCAGTTGGCCAATTAATTTCTTTCTATTTATAGTAGAGACTGGGTCTCGCTCTTGCTCAGGCTGGTTTCGAACTCCTGACCTTGAGCGATCCACCCGCCTCGGCCTCCCAGAGTGCTAGGATTACAGGCGTGAGCCACCGCGCCCGGCCTGGTGATTTTAATCTTGAAAAGGAGCCACGTGATGGACCTGAGACCAAGGTGGATAATGGTGAGCTGAAAGCTGTCATGGAAGCAAATCCATCTGAGCTTACCTGTGAATTGGCAACAAGGTTTGACATTACTATTCTGACAACACTGGACCATTTGAAACACATCGGCAAGGTTAAGGAGCTGGATAGATGGGTTTCTCATGAATTAAACGAGCATTAGAACTTGACTTTCTTTGCAAGATAAACCATTTCTACACCATGTTGTTACACGTGATGAAAAACGGATTCTTTCTGACAATCACAAGCACTCAGCACAATGGTTGGATACGGATGCAGTGCCGAAATCCAGACCAAAACCGAATGTTCATAAAAAAAAAAAAGCTAATGGTGTCTGTGGTGGTCCAGCACTGGTATTATCCACTACAGCTTCATGAAACCTGGTCAATCGATTACAGAGGATGTGTACTACAACCCACTGGATGATATGATGAGGATGGTTGTGCTTAAGCAGCCGAGATTGGTCAGTAGAGACAATCCTCTTGCAAGACAACAGTCGGCCCCATGTCACACAAATAACACTGCTCAAACTACAGAGGCTGGACTTGGAAACTGTGTGTCATCCACCGTATTCACCAGACCTTGCACCAAGCAACTACCACTTCTTCCAGGCTTTGGACCACTTCTTGCAAGGAAAAACACTCAATCCTCAACAAGCTGTGGAAAACGCCTTTCGAGATTTCGTTGCCACTGGCTCTCCAGACTTCTTCACTGCTGGCATGAACAAGCTACTGTTAAGATGGCAAAACTGTGTCAATAGTTTAGGTGCATCCTGTGACTAATTGTACCGCTTCTTGTTTGAGATATAATAAACTACACTTTGGGTTCGAAATCGGACATTTCATATTTAATAACCTAACATATTTTTTCAGACATTCTCTGGTGACTGCTCAGCCTGGAGTCTCACCTGCAGCCCAACCCAGCTCAGCCTGTGCTTGTAACTGAGCTCTGCAAGGACACACTGCTGCCTATTCCTTTACTATGGTCTGTGGCTTGTTTTTGGCTACAAACAGCAGAGTCAGGAGCTGCAACAGAGACCGTGTGGCCCACAGAGACAACAACATTTACTATCTGCCCCTTAACAGAAAGGAGCTGGCCCCAGTCTCAAGTCCCGGTTGACCCTTGACCAAACTCGTCAGGCTCCTATGAGCTCTCTGGACCTCAGCCGATAAAAAACACAGACTTTGAGCACGAACGATTTCGTCCACCCCCACTCCCCCTACCTGCCTAAGAGACTTGCATAAACTGGGGCATAGTTCCTAACAGCTCAAGGCCACACCCTAGGACGAACCCAGCTCCCAGCAGCCTGCCAGAAAGCTCAGCATGGCCAGGGAAGTCACTGTCTGTCGCAGCCCAAACCCGATGAAGGCACAGGCCCCTGGGCCCCTGGGTGCCGTTCCTTTAGCAAGCTTGCAACTATAAATCTCTCCTCTGCCCGTGAGATGCAAACGCCCCACCCAGACCTGCCTCAGAACCTGGGAGGAACCTGCCTGCGCTCTCCAGTCCCTGCTGGGGCGAGGGCCTGACTCAGTGGGCCAGCTCCAACACGCACCACCGCCCCTCGCAAAGACGTCCCTCCTCTGGACGTGGCCAAGGAGCACGCCAGGTGGTCTCATCAAACCCAGCACACGGGTCCTGAAAACGTCTCTTGCCCTTTGTCTGGGCACAGCTGAGTCCAGCTGGCCCTCGCCCCTGCTGCGAAAGTCTGTCGCTGATAAGACCCGTCCTGCCTCTTTAACAGCCCCCACCTGTTCATCTTTGACAGCCTGTGTCTGCCGTGACTCCGGCTGGGGTCTGCACCTGCTCCCAGCTCGGAGCCGACCCAAGACCAGAGGCAGCCAAAAGCAAAGAAAAGCCAAAGGCAGACTTGATAAAAATCTGATTGACTGAAGCAAAAACGCAGCTGCAGGCTGAAGTCTGCAGGCGGCACTGGGCACGCTGGGCTCCCCTTCAACAGGTGCTGCATGGAGCGCACCTGACCACAGCCAGGGCGCGCAGAGCCGCGTCGCAGGGGCTGTGTTTCAGGGGCCTGCTCTCCCAGCCTGGGCAGGCGCCCCTCACTCTGCCCCTCGGGCCCCCAGCCTGGCCTGGGTTGGCCTCTTATTCCCACTAAGGCAGTGGGTCCACAGGGGGCATGTCATCAGCCCCCTCACCCAGGGCCCTTCTCCAGGGTCCAGACCAGGAAGTGGGCATGGCGGGCTCTCCGGCTTCCTGTGCTGGCCACGCCATGAGCGGCAGCCACGCTCGGGCCACGCCCCCTCGGCCTGGGAAACCCCTCTTCACACCTGGCCCAGCTCCCTGTTCACCACCTGCCACTGCCCCCCCCCCCCGTGACCCCAGGCCCCGGCTGCACTGCGCCCTTCACGTCCAGCTGAGACTAGCACTCTGGGAGGCCGAGGCAGGCAGATCACTCAAGCTCAGGAGTTCAAGACCAGCCTGAGCAAGAGTGAGACCCCATCTCTACTAACAATAGAAAGAAATTAATTGGCCAACAAAAATATACAGAAAAAATTAGCCGGGCATGGTGGCACATGCCTGTAAGTCCCAGCTACCCAGGATGCTGAGACAGTAGGATTGCCTGAGCCCAGGAGTTTGAGGTTGCTGTGAGCTAGGCTGACGCCATAACACTCTAGCCTGGGCAACAGAGTGAGACTCTGCCTCAAAAAACAAAACAAAACAACAACAACAACAACAAAACACATCCAGCTGAGAGCACCTGCCTGAGCATGCCCCCTCCCGCAGGGCCACCTGCCTGGACAAGCGTCTCTGCGCTGGACCTGGTGTCGGACGACGCAGAGCCCGTGCCACCAGGCGCCCTTCCTTCACCAGCCAGGCCCCCACGAAGCCCCCAGGCCTGGACGCCCCGCCCCTGCCGCCACCACCTTTGTGAGCATCCCTCCTGCGGTGACCGAGCGCTGGGACAGTGAGCACAGCGCCGTGGACACACAGGCACGAGACTCACGCCCAAACCCACAGAGACGGACAAGCCAGGCAGAGCCCCCGGCTGGAGCGTCGCCGGCCCTGTCCTGGCCCACGCGGCCCTCCTTCGACACAGGTGCCCCATGGAACACTCCCCACGTTCACTTTAAAACTCTCCCCCATTGAAGACCAGTGATCCTGTCTCCAAGGAAACTGAAGAACCACCAGCACAAGCACAAGGCACTCACAGGCGGGAGCAGCCCCTGGCGGCCACGACGTTGAGCATGGGGAAGGCGTAGATGATGAAGCGCAGCTCCTTGTGCGGGAGCAGCGAGTACAGAGCCACGAAGCCCAGGGACGGCAGAGCCAGCGCGTGCGTCCTTCTGTCCGCCAGGCCCAGGGGCACGAAGAGAAGGCTGCAGCCCAGGCCTCGGGGCAGGGCTGAGTAGAAATACCACAGCAGCGGGGAGGTCTACAGGGGGGTGGTTAAGGAGAACACACACGCCAGTGATCAAGGTACCTGTCCGCGAGGAACCACTGCCGGGGCACAGGATGGAGGCTGCAAGGTGTCCAAGACGGTTGTGCTGAAGGACGCAATGGGGACCTGGGCGCAGGGGCAGGGGGACGGCGCAGGGGCATGGCGCAGGGACCTGGGCGCAGGGGCAGGGGCACGGCGAGGGCCTCGGGTGGCCTGGACCGGGCACGTCCACTCCCAGCGAGGGCCCCACACCCAAGGCTGCGTGAAGTTCTTCATATGCCCTGGGGAGTCATTATGTTGTTCTTTCTACTTGTGTGTATGTTTGAAATATTCCGTAATAAAACGTTTTGAAAAAGCAGATCATCCCGAGGATTTACAGAGAGGCCGGGACTGCACGTGCAGTGATGTTTCCACGGGAAACGGCTGGCAGCGGGAGCGAGGACCTCCCAGCCCGGCGTTTCCCAGGGATGGGCGGGAGAGGTGGGCCCCGGGTCTGACCCCGCGGCAGGGCGCGAGGCTGGGAAGAAAAGCAGCCAGTTCACACGCGCCATCCCCCGGCAGAGGCACTGAAAGGATACTCCCCAGTTGGAACTTTTATTCAGGACGGTGTTGTACCAGAGCACCTTTCCTTCCGGCCACACGAGCTGTCGCCAAAAATAGGAGTCTACAGCCACCGTCAGCCCTAATAAAACAAGAAGCCCCTCAGCAATGAACACAGCCCCTAAAAGGCCACACTGACACTGCTGGGTGAACCGCAGCCACCGGCTGTGCCATCAGCGATCGGGCCCACGGAGCAGCCTGCCGGTGCCACGGAAACCGCAAACCCCTTTCACGTGGAAAAGCTGACTGGCTGGGGACAGCACTTCCTGGAGCCCATCCCCCCAGCCTGGGGCTTGGGAACAAGCTGCCCTCCTGCTCCCGCGTCCTCCCCCAGCCTGGGCCAGGCACGAAGGACAGGTGGGCGGACAGAGGCTCCAGGGCACAGGCTGGGGCCCTGCAGACCCCGGGCAGACAGCTCAGGAGGACCTGGACTGAGACGTTCGGGTACTGCTAACAGTTAAAGGCGACTTTATTCCATGGGAAGAAACCAAACTCCCCAATTTCTCGTCATCTTTGTAAGACGAGGCAAAACAGAATCCAGTCAGAAGAATCGCACAGAGACGGTGACAGTGACTCACCTAGGCTGAGGACCCCGGCGGGGACGGCGTGACGCAGCAGCCTGAGCACAGGGAGCCTCCTGCTGTGCAGCGCGGGCAGCAGCATGAGGCCCAGGAGCAGGCACAGCTCGGCCCTGAACACGACGATGGCGAGCGCCGAGAGCCAGATGAAGCGGGCCCAGCCGTGCCGCAGCCAGGCCGCGAGGGCCAGCAGCACTGCAAGACCGCGGGAGGGCGCGTCAGGCGCCTCGCGCAGAACTCACCCCAGAAAACAAGCAGCCGCTCAGAGCTGCTGACACAGCACCCCCCCCCACGTCGTTTGCTAGAAAGTTCCTCCCAACCCAGCACCAAGAACAGAGAACCCCGGTTTCTGATCGCAGGCGTTTCTGGAGAGCCCCGTGGGTTCTGTTGTTGGGCGGACATGCGTGCGGGCGATCGACGGACGCACGGCGCCCTGACTGGGCCAACCCCTCGCTGGGGACGGAGGGCGGGGCCCCAGCACTGCGGGCACGGCCGGCAGCTACGTACCCACGGGCAGCGCCAGCACGTTGGGCAGCGTCCGGGTGCAGTAGAACATCAGGTGGAACTGCGTGGCTGTCACCCAGCAGAACATGGTGGCCACCGTGGCCCCAAACTGTCGTCTCACTTCTTTTTGTAACGTCCAGAGTCCAAAAATCACAGCAAGCCCAAGAACTCCTCTAACTAAAGAAACAAAGAAAACAACACACGGTGACCTTCGGTGCGGCTTGCAATGGCGAGCCAGAGCCAGGTGACGGAAAAACCACCTGAGAGGGAGCTGCCTTTGGTTTTGAAAACAGACCCTGGCGCCTGCGTTCCCGCCGGGAGCCGCCACACCAGACCCCAGGGCTGCGCCTCGGGGCCACGCGGGCTCTGGGGGCTGCTCCCCAACAGCTTGAGGGAGGAACCTGGCCACCTGGCAGCACAGGCAGCCTTCACAGGACGCCGTGACAAGTCAAGTCTGGGCTAAACCAGAGACCCCCACCTGGCCGAGACGCCTCCAAGGGGCAGGATTTTCAAGGGCCTGACTCATCTTGCTCTGACCTGCAGCCAGTAGGTGGCAGGACCTGGCGGGAAGGCAGGGCCAGGGGCAGGAAGCCGACTAGGGGCTGTCCCCGGCCGGTGGTCTCGGGAAGACAAGGTGAGGACCAGGGCATGCCCAGGACGGTGCCTGGAGACCACCCATCCTGAGTGGACAGGCCCGTCCGCCGCTGGGCTGCTCTGCCATCTTCCTGGGAGGCCACAAGAGAGTCCACAGTCCCCACGTGAGAGGTACCGGGGTCCAGGCCGCCGTGGAGACTGAGGGAGCCCAAGGACCCGCGGGTTTCCCAACCGTGAACCCGCCGCTCTGGCACAAAGCCAGCTTGGGCCCCGGCACTTTTCTTTCATGTGCTGCTGGATTCCCACTGTACATGTTTTATACGGAAATATTTTAACTGATGTCCACAAGGATCTAATTTCAGTTGCTGTAATTTTGGTGCTAGAATTCTCATTTTGGTTCTTTTACACAGCTGACAGCACTCCGGCAAAGTGCCTGCCTGTCTCTGACCTCCGTCAAGTGCACATCCAATGAGCCTGTCACCCGCACCACCGGCTGCTCTCGGTCCGCATCTTGCTGAAGTCTGCCCGGCCCGGCTGCCAGACAGTGACGGTTTGGGAAAGCTACAGAGACAGCCTCAGTCCCAGGATGACACTGTGTGTCGCTGTCCAGAGAGGAACCATTAATGTGTCTGGCCTCCGGCAGGGCCCAGGGGACACAAGCAACTCCAGGTCCTCTTAGCGAAGCTGGGAACGAGGATGAGGATGCAGGGCTGGCTCCTGCCCACCGCCTGGGGCCACAGCCCTCCAAGGCCCTGCAGGCCCGGTCTGCCCAGCTCCGCCTGACTCCCCTGCAACAAGCAGAAGCTTCCAGGCAAAGCAGGCCACGCACGGGGCTCACTTGCAGTTTCTTTTCCCGAGATCGTGGCCCCCCAACTCCTCCTCATCTGGGGGTCCCTGAAGCCTCCACACAATGAGCACAGCTTGTCTACCTGTCCCCATGTGACGGTGGATTTCCATTTCCCAATCTGCCCTTTCAAGAAGCAGAACTGCTTCTTTCCCAGGAATGTGTCCGTTTTTTAAAGCTCTGCATGCAGGGCAGGCAAAATAGTTATAAGAATGGGCTGAGCGTGGTGGTTCATGCCTGTAATCCTAGCTCTCTGGGAGGCCGAGGCAGGCAGATTCCTCAAGGTCAGGAGTTCAAAACCACCCTGAGCAAGAGCAAGACCCCATCTCTACTATAAATAGAAAGAAATTAATTGGCCAAGTAATATATATAGAAAAAAAATTAGCTGGCATGGTGGCACATGCCTGTAGTCCCAGCTACTTGGGAGGCTGAGATAGTAGAATTACTTGAGCCCAGGAGTTTGAGGTTGCTGTGAGCTAGGCTGATGCCACGGCACCCACTCTAGCCTGGGCAACAAAGTGAGACTCTGTCTCAAAAAAAAAAAAAAAAAAGAGTTTAAGTAATGCTAGCACTCTGGGAGGCTGAGGCGGGTGGATGGAAGGTCAGGAGTTCGAAACCAGCTTGAGCAAGAGTGAGACACCATCTCTACTAAAAATAGACACAAATTAATTGGCCAACTAAAAATACATAGAAAAAATTAGCCAGGGCCGGGCGCGGTGGCTCACGCCTGTAATCCTAGCACTCTGGGAGGCTGAGGCAGGCGGATTGCTCTAGGTCAGGAGTTCAAAACCACCCTGAGCAAGAGCAAGACCCCATCTATACTATAAATAGAAAGAAATTAATTGGCCAACTAATATATACAGAAAAAATTAGCCAGGCATGGTGGCGCATGCCTGTAGTCCCAGCTACTCGGGAGGCTGAGGCAGGAGGATCGCTTGAGCCCAGCAGTTTGAGGTTGCTGTGAGCTAGGCTGATGCCACGGCACTCTGGCCTGGGCAACAGAGTGAGACTCCGCCTCAAAAAAAAAAAAAAAAAAAAGAATGAGTTTGAGTCAACTGGGGAAATCTGAATGTGGTGAGGTATTAGACACAATAAAAATTCACTGAAATGGAAAAGTGATTATTGACTTTAAAAAAAAAAAAGCAGGTTGTAGAACAATATACACAGCATGTTGTGAATTTGTTTTTTAAAACAGCACTCAGATGGACACAGAGACCCAGAGGGATGTGCACACAGCCTCGCAGGGGCACCTCGGGAACGAGGGGTTTCTGTCTGAGCGCCCCCCGAGACAAACGAGCTGCCTCTGCAATGCCAACGCTGTTTAAGCTAGCGGGGCTGTCCTGGTGAACAAGCTGAGGTGGCTCCGCGGTCACCCAAGCGTGTAAGTGCCACAAGGGTCCCTCCAGGCACGTTCATTCCCCTGCACCAGCCCTGGGGAGGAAGGCACCGTCACCCCTGTTTCTCAGGTGAGAGCGTGATGCCCAGAGGGGCTCACTCACACGGCCCGGGTCTGACGCCCCACGCTAAAGAGATCACAGGCAAGACTGTCACAGACGGACGTTCCCAAACGGGAGGAGCCCGTGACCGACTGAGATCGTCTGACACCACAATTCTCCATCTCGTCCGCATGTTTTGGAGACCCGCTTACCTATCAGCTGAGAGTAAAACTTGGACATTTCTAACAGGGAAAGCACGTAAACTGCAGGGCTGGAGAACGCTGCCATCAGCAGTGGCCCGAGGAAGGTCCTGGGGACGACGCCAGGGAACTCGAGGTGGTCGTACTGCAAAGGGAAGGCAGGTCAGGACAGGGAGGCCTCAGGAGTCGGACACGGGATTTCCGGACAAAGGCAGCAGCGGCCCCTCACCTTGTCCACGTCCAGCTGGTGGTAGAGCAGGTCGTGTGTGGCCTGCAGGCTGAAGCTCTCCTCTACTTTGGTGTAGGGACAGGTGACCAGGTGGACAGTGGCCACGGCCAGGAGCAGCCCCAGCAGCAGGGGCCGCTTGCTTGATGACCTCTTCCCGGCCATCCAGGGCTTTCAGCTTCATGCACTTTCACGGATCCAAGGGTACAAAATACCAACCGTGGGCACTTCCACGCTAAGCGTTCTGAAAGAATGAAACATGGATTTGTAAGCTTCAAAAATCACGCTTGGGAAGTCTGAGTAAATGGTAAGCAGGAATTCTTTGAACTATTGTTGTAACTCCTATAAATCTGAAAACATGTCAAAATGGAAAGTTACAACAAAAACCACACTTGAGAAGCCTTCATAGTTTAACCAGCTATCTTGCACTTTAACCACTTCGGTACGAGCATCAACTACAGTCGACAGCCACAGATGAACGCGCACAGCGACTTTAGCCGACAGCCGTGATATGAAGGCGCACAGCTGAGCGTCGACTTTAGCCGACAGCCGTGATGTGACTTTTCTAATTTTTCATTTATCAAAATAAAATTGTGAACATTTAAAAATAACGTAATGAAAACATATATGTACATGTTACCTATTCTGATTTACATTACAAGTAAAGCTGCCTGTAAAGTAAAACAAGCTTTCAGTGCTTTCAAGCTTTCCTCATCAAACAAGAGCAAAACGGATTCGTCGTCAATGCACAGCACAAACTATTGTGTGGACTATGAGTGCCGGCTGTGGGCGAGGTTTCGCGGCTGGTGAGCGCTGCACTGAAGTGGTTAAGCTCTGTGAATACTTTTCTGGGAAGAAAGACTTCAGTTGTGGAACCCTGGGTCTAGCCAGGTCATGCTGGCCTGGGTGGCAGAGCAGGTGAAACAGACCCTGCCCTCAAGAAGCTCAAATCTGGTGGGACAGTCAGCAAAACCCAGGCGCAGCCCCCACAGAACTGGCTGACGGACGGGACGGGAGGCTGTGAGGTGGGGGCTGATAAGCAGGCTGGGAGGGACAGCCCCAAGGTGGCACCATGATGGCCATGAACCTGAACTTTGTCCTAAGGGGAACCTGCAATTGGTCATCCAATTATTACCAGGACAACCTCAAGGGACCAATGGCATTGAGCTTCCTGAAAAATCATGAAAGTATCCAGCTGCTACACGTGGAAGACCCAGGGGGCAGATGGCAGGTTCTTCTTGTTTCTGGATTCTTTTAAAACAGGTTTAATTTTTTTTTTTTTTTGAGACAGAGTCTCGCTTTGTTGCCCAGGCCAGAGTGAGTGCCGTGGCGTCAGCCTAGCTCACAGCAACCTCAAACTCCTGGGCTCAAGCAATCCACCTGCCTCAGCCTCCGGAGTAGCTGGGACTACAGGCATGCGCCACCATGCCTGGCTAATTTTTTCTATATATATTAGTTGGCCAATTAATTTTTTTCTATTTATAGTAGAGACGGGGTTTCGCTCTTGCTCAGGTTGGTTTCGAACTCCTGAGCTCAAACGATCCACCCGCCTCGGCCTCCCAGAGAGCTAGGATTACAGGCGTGAGCCATTGCGCCCGGCCTAAAACAGGTTTAATTTTATTCAATCAAAACCAGAAGGGCCAGAAGCAAAGGGAGAGAGAACCATGGTGCTTACTATTTGTAAACACTACCTTTCTACAGATGTAGAGTTAAGAAGCCTGTACTCTCCAAAGGTGGCAAGTAAAGAATTATAACAACAAGTAAAGGAAAACCACTAGCTACTTTCAGAGGCTGTGGCAGGAGGATCACTTGCACCCAAGAGTTCAGGGCTGCAGTGAGCTACTATCCCACTACTGCCCTCTAGCCTGGATGACAGAGTGAGACCCTGTCTCAAAAAAAACCAAACAGGCCAGGTGAAGTGGCTCAGACCTGCAATCCTAGCACTCTGGGAGGCCAAAGTGAGAGGACCATTTGAGCTCAGGAGTCCGAGATCAGCCTGAGTGAGAGCGAGACCCTGTCACTACAAAAAACAGAAAAATTAGCTGGGTGTGGTGGCATGAGCCTGTAGTCCTAACTACCTGGGAGGCTGAGGCAGGAGGATCACCTGAGCTCAGGAGTTTGTGGTTACAGTGAGCTGTGATGATGCCACTGCACTCTAGCCCATGCAACAGAGTGAGACCCTGTCTCAAAAAATAAATAAATAAATAAATAAATAAATAAGGAAAAAAACCAACCAACAAACAAAAACGTGAAGGAAAATCTGTAGATTAGAAGGGACAGGAATCCTAATTGTTATGGTAGTGATGAGGGGAGGGTGGGGGAGAAAGGGGAAAAAGGGCTTTAATAATGTTAGATGACGAAAATAGGATGTAGTTCTTATTAGAGATAACATACCTTTTTCCCTATAAAACTTTGGTGACTCACAAAGGAAAAGACCTAAGGACCAGGTTAGGATCCACTGTCCACTGGCAGGGTGTGTGTGTGGGGGTGTTCCATGTTGGTTTTTCTCCCACCAGTGCAAGCTCAGCACCAAGGACAGAGCCCACTCTGGCGGGAGGACCTGCTTCCTTGAGGACACCACCACATCTGCAGAGCCTGCTAACTGGCAGGTGCTCAGTGAACTAGCTGAAGAAGAGAATCAGGGAAAACTCTTATGCGGGGGGATCTTGTCACATCAGTTACATTTTTATTAAAAACATGTCCATGCTTTAATTTCCAGTAAAGCAGAGAAGACTGCAGAACACTCATATGCTACTCTGTTCTTCTCACTGTCCTGAGGAAAAAAGAACTTAGAGAGGCAGCTGCACAGGAAGTGCCCCTTGGCAGGGCCCTGGCATGGGCTGCCCAGCCAGCCCTCTGCCCCTCCACCCAGAGGCTCTTCCCGCAAGGAGAATCCAGACCGTGGGATGAAAATGTCATGTGCAGAACCCACCCTGGCCCTCCTGCCAGGCCCCAGATAAGGGCAGCTTATCCCAAAAGGCAGGAGGAGATCGAGTGTGAGGCAGAAGCTTCAACCAGGAGCACAGAAGACATACGTGGCATAAACGAGCACGAAACTCACAAGCAGCCCACCACCGGGCCAGGGTGAGCAGATGGTGCTTGCAGCTGTTCAGCAGCTGTTCTTAATCTGAAGCAACAGGCGCCCTTGGGAGCATCCGCACTAGTCAAGACTCTTTAAAGATGTGGCCTACAGACTGTTCCTTCTTGGAGCAGTCCACTCTCTACCATCTTCAAGAGTATACCAAAAAAAAAAAAAAAAAAAAGGAAAAAAAAAGAGAGAGAGAAGAAAAGAAAAAGGAAAGATGTGGTTTACAGAATGAGGGCATCTCAGATCAGGAAATGACCTACAAGAAGGCCCTCTTGCACCTGTCAGTTTGGATTCTAAGCTCTCTACTGAAATTGGTCAAATCAGATGTTATTATTAACAACATTAGTAATCATTCATCTCAGCGGGAAATACCAACAATCTAGTGCAAATTAGACCTGCTGCCAACCAAACACCAGCTAAAACTCCATTATTATTTGTACTTCTTCCTTCTGGCTGTTCTCTCCTTACCTCACAGGCAGTTTTCCCTAACACCCAGAAACGCACATTTAATTTCTCCTAATTTAAACCTCAAGTTCTTAAACGTCAGTGTCACTTCAGGCACAGGAGGAAGTGCAGATCCCTGGCCCCCCAACCCCCAGCGACACACTGGGGGCCCCTCCACCCCAGGGTGAGGACCCCCGCCCGCACCCCATCCCCCTCACCCCAGGGTGAGGGCCCGGCCCCACCCCCACCCCGACCCCCACGCCCGACCCCGAGAGTGAGGAGCCCGGCGGCTGTCACGCGTGGGCACGCGCGGTAGGGCCTGAGGAACGCGTGGGTAGCGCTGCCTCGGGGGTCCCCGCCGCCCCCCGGGAGAGCCCGGATCGTGCCCTCGCCCTCCCGCCCTAAGGGCCCCAGCCGCGGCAGCGCGCGCTGACCTCTCCCGCCCCCACCGGCGTAGTCCCTCGGAGCGCGGCCGCCTGGGTGGCTCTCGGCCGGAAGTGAGGCGGCGGAAACAGAGAACGCAGGCGAAGCTCTTGCCCGGACCCAACATGGCCGCCGGAGCCCCAGCCGCTGTTGCAGCGGAGCTGCCCGGAGTAAAGATGGCCACCACGGGCCGTTCCTGAGAGGGGCGGGCTCGGATCGCCACGCCCCCGCCCCAGCCTCCCGGCAGGACGCTGACCCGGGGCCTTCCCATTGGTCGCTGCTCGTGGCGAGCCTGGATTGGGCCACATAAGACCGGGGCGGGTCCCTGCGACCAATAGTGGCGCGGGACTGGAAGGCTGGGCGGGGCCTCGCCGGCGCCCTCAAGTAGCCGGGGGAACGGCCGGCGCGGCTCGGAGCGGGTGGGCGGCCGGGAGGCCGGAGCCGCGCGGCCGCGGACCTGGAGCGCCAGCCGCGTCTTCCCGCAGCGCTGGCCGCCATGCGCCCGCCGCCCCGGGCCGCGCTGGGGCTCCTGCTGCTGCTGTTGCTGCTGCCGCCCGTGCGGCAGGCCGCCACGAAGCCGACACTCTGCATGCAGTGCCGAGGGCTGGTGGACAAGTTCAAGCAGGTGGGCGGGCCGGGCTGGGGGCTGCGGGGCTGGGGCCGGGCGGGGCCGGTGTCGGGGCCGGGCGGGGGGCTGCAGGGCAGGGACCGGGCAGCTGGGGGGCTGCGGGGTAGGGCCGGCCTCCTGCGGGCCCAGGTCCCCCCACACACACTGCGGGCCTGGGGTTGAGGGCGGGCAGCACAGAGCCCGGTGGGCACCTTCTCCTGGCAGGGAATGGTGGACACAGCAAAGAAGAACTTCGGCGGTGGGAACACAGCTTGGGAGGAAAAGACGCTGTCCAAGTATGAATTCAGGTGGGTGCCCTAGAGCGCCTGCAGGTCTCTCAGGTGCCTCACTTCCGGCCCTGTCCTGAGAAGCCCAATGTCCCGTCTGGGGTACCTGTGTTAGTAACAGGTGCACAGAACAGTCCCTTAGACACCAGTCACCTGTCCAAGGTGCCCCTGCCCCTGGCCTGGGACTAATGTGCTGGCCCCTGTATGGCCTTCCAGCTTCCACACTGGTCCCTGCAGCCCATTCTCACTGACAGACAGTAGCCTTTCAAAAATGTAAACTGGAACGCCAGTGTCACCTCTGTGAACCACTCCTGGCTTCCCTGCATGCAGGTGAGGGGGGTAAGCTCCCCTCCCTTCTCTGCCCCGAGCTCTGGCCCTGCACCCTGGTGGATGTGATGGTTCAGGGTCTGTGTCCACTCCAGGGCCACTGTATCTCCAGCCTGGCACTGGGCAGGGCCTCGGGACACCCTGTAGGATGAACAAACCGACACCCTGTGAGCCCCGTCCCCCAGCGGGTGCCGACCGGGGCTGTGTATTTTCAGCGAGATCCGCTTCATGGAGATCGTGGAGCGTCTGTGCGAGAGCAGTGACTTCGAGTGTAACCGCATGCTGGAGGAGCAGGAGGAGCACCTGGAGGCCTGGTGGCTGCGGCTGTGAGTGCCCAGGGCCCCCGGGTGCCGCTCGGTTTTCCAACCTGCAGGCTGAAGTCATCTCACTGTGGGAATGGTTCTGGGAACAGTGCAGCGTTCCCGCCTGCCTGTCTCCCATCCTACCCACACGCTGCCACCTGCATTGCCACTGGGCACCTAGACTCTGGTTCCCAGATCCTGGAACACTCTGGAGCACCTGTCACATGAAACTGCATTTTTGTTCTAACGAATCTGCCACGTAAGGTTTAATGAGTGTTTTTGAAAAACCCTTAGGAAGAACGAGCATCCTGACTTATTTGAGTGGTTCTGCGTGAAAACGCTGAAGGTGTGCTGTTCCCCAGGAACCTACGGGCCAGACTGTCGTGGTATGTTTCCTCTTGGGGACATCCCAAGTCTCCTACTTTGTTCCCATTAGTCCTCTCCTGATCCCCCCGGGTGGGTGAGAGCACAGAGGGCACCTGCGTGCACTAGCTCTCCCTGGGGTCTGGGACCCTGCCCCCTTCCGTGAGACAGGACGGCCGCCCACCCCCCGAGGCAGCATGGAGCACCTGGGACCCCAGGCTGTGGCGTCACCACCGACTTTACGTAGAGAAATTCTCTGGGCTGTAGGACTCTTGAGTGTCTAATCCCAGCTGTCCTTTTAATTCTGGGGTTCACAGTGGTGCACAGGTGTGTAGGCTCACCTGGGGGTTGGCCCTAACTGGCCTGCCCGGGTGCTTCTCTCTTCACGCAAGGGGGTGGCCACACTGTGGCGTCCGTGGCCACCAGCCTAGCCCTGCCCACAGAGCAGGGCTTCAGTCCAGGGCCAAGGGCAGTGGGCATCCTTCAGGCTGCACACGCAGCCCTTGCCTTCATGGCTGAAGAAGTAAGCACTGAAATCGGAGCCACACTTTGTGTTCGGGTGTCACAAACGTCAGCCCTGACAGTCGAGCTGGGTCAGGTGGCCTAAGTCTCAAGGTCAGACCTGGTCCCGGCTACAGCTGCCCCTGCTGCTGCCTCTCCTGTTTTCCCCGGTGCGGACGCAGCAACTGGGTGTCGGTATGTGGCACATGACTGTCAGGCCCACCCCCCTGTGGCTTGCCCCTGGGCCAGAGATCCACCGTCAGCCACGCAGACCCCAGAAACCAGTTTCTCCAAACGTCGAGTTGGCCAAGCTTGCGGGCTCTGTGTTTCCCCGCTAGGGTCGCGCAGGTTTGGGTTTTAGTGCCGTTTGCCTCTGCGCACGTCGAGGGGTGCAGTGGCATTTTCTCCACCAGCACCCCCGGGTGTTCTCAGAGCGCATGTGTGTTCCCCAAAGCGTGCCAGGGCGGGTCGGAGAGGCCCTGCACCGGGAACGGCCGCTGCAGCGGAGATGGCAGCAGACAGGGGGACGGGTCCTGCCAGTGCCACGTGGGGTACAAGGGGGCCCTGTGCACCGACTGCATGGACGGCTACTTCAGCGCACTCAGGAACCAGACCCACAGCGTCTGCACAGGTACGGAGGCGGCGGCACCCGGGCCCCGGGGGGCGGTGGGAGCAGCCCGTTCCCAGAGCAGCGCGCTCAGGTGTCAGCCTCCGAACCTGGGCACCCAGGGAAGTCCAGGAGGCTCAGAAGATGTGGCCCTTGTGAAACCTGTGAAGGAAAGTGACAGAGGCTGTTGGGGGCGCTTCCTGTCCCCAAACAACCCCCAGAAGGGAAAAGCTACTCACTTTCTTCTCCAAGTTCTTCTCTGGACTTAATGTTTCATGGGTGTGGAGTTGGCGGGTTCTGTTATCTTTATCTCTGTGCTTGGGTCTCCACGTTCTTAGACCTGGCTCCCAGCTGGAGGCCAGGCTCTGCTCGTTCACTTCCCTGGAATGTTCTGGCAAAAGGCTTGCTGTCCCCTGCAGCTATCCCCACAGGATGGGCGGCCCTGGAGGGCCCCACGGGGTGTCCCTGGCTGGCTGCGTAGTTACTTGGGTCACGTCAGGTACAGGGTGCAGAGGCCAGAACGTGCCCACTGCTGCTCAGGGTAGCCTCTCGGGGTAAGCAGAGGACACTGCGGAGCCCCCGCGCCCCGGCAGGAGACGGGATGGAGAGATGGTCTGATGTGGGAATTAGAAGGACTCTGAGGCCCCCCTCTCCCCAGCCCCTTTTCTAGGGGCGCCATCTTGCTTACCCTGGTATTGTCACGTGGCCTGGTGTGGGGTGAGGTGGCCAGACAGTCCTGGCCGTGACCCTGGGTGCTTCCCTTCCGGGTGCCCAGAGGTAGACCCTTCCGCGTGGAGACTGACCACGCTGCACAGGTGAGCACGGGCCACGCCCACGTCCTTGTGAGGCTGGGGCGCGCCCTCCGCAGGTGTGGAGCTCGCACACTTACAGGCCTCAAATCTGCACGGGAAGCCGTGCAGTGGGCTCTGTGTACGGTCCACCTTCTCGCCGGCTGTCAGTGACGTGGGGAAAACTGGGGGTGTGGCGTCTCAGGACCGAGCCAGTGGCTGGTCTGTGGCTCTCCTGCACGTTCCGTGTAGGGAAACGTGTCCATGCTGGTCAGGACGTGGGCTTTCTGGTTCCCACCCCCCGCTCCGCCTGGCTCTGGGACGTCAGGGCCACTCTGGGCGCCCGTGGGCCGGTGGCCGGAGCGTGCTCTCCCCGCCAGGCGAGGGTCCGGAGCGTGGGTCCCGCTCTTCTCCAGGCTGTGAAACGTTGCCTCAGGGTCCCGGTTTGCTGAGGATTTTATTCTTTTCTTTTTTGTTGTTGCAATTCACCACGTAATGAGGATTTTATTCTTAACGGGCGTTGAAGACCCTGTGTATTTTTTTTCTCTTTAACACGTGAATATTATGAATCCCATAGATTCGTGATTCATAGGTAGATTTCTCTGTCAAACTCATCTCATTTTCCTGGGGTTTTTCTGTGTTTCGTTTGTTATCCCGCTGACTCGAAACCCCCCGTTTCTGAAACGAGCTCTGCTCTGCGTGGGTGGTGGCAGACAGAGGTTGTCACACGCATGCCCGCCTTTGCCTTCCAGCCTGCGACGAGTCCTGCAAGACGTGCTCCGGCCCGACCAGCAGGGACTGCGGCGAGTGCGAAGTGGGCTGGGCGCTCCAGGAGGACGCCTGCGTGGGTGAGGGGGCGCGGGGGGCTCTGCCGGGTCCGCTCCCGCCCGGCCTCTGGACTGCCGCCCGCTCCGTGCCGTGGGCGGGCAACTCCGGCGTGAGGGACCCCGCGTGGAGGTGCAGGCCCACGCACCTGCCGTCCGCCAGGGCAGTTGCGGGAAGGGCCGTGTGGCGTCCCTAGTGCCTGAGGCCCGGGCTGGGGGCCGTCAGGCTGCAGCGTGAGGGTCGCCTAACTCGGCCCCACAGGGAAACCTGGGGTTTCGTGTCCCCTGTGCTGGTTTCCTGAGACGCAGGGACGGGGAGTACCAGGGTGGTCCTGGCAGGCAGGATGGGGGGCCGGGGAGCAGTGGGTCCTGGGGTTGTGAGTGGCGGGGCAGGGGACAGTGGCACAGCCAGGTAGAGACTGGTTAGTGGCCGCCCACCAGCGCCTGCCGCACACCTGGCCGTGCCTTGCCCGAAAGGCGCGTGGCCCACCTGGCGCGGGGCTCCCTGGAGCCTTGTTGCCGTGCTGGGTGCAGCCCCGACTCGAGCTGCTGTTCGCCCGGGCCCTGCCCACCCGCCACGGCGGGCCCCAGCTGCTCCTGGCGCGTCTTTTCCTGCTGCCCACACACCTGGCCCCGCAGCGCCCCTGCGCCCCAGAGGAACCTCGGCTGCAGGGGCGAGGCCGGGCTCAGTTTCGGTTCCCATCGGGGTTCCTTCCCCGTGGCAGCTGCTCGGCCTTAGGCAAATGGGGGGCCGAGTCCCTCGGGTTTCACACCTCCCGTGGGGAGGTTTGGGGGACTGGAGGAGCCCACACGGCAGCCAGCGGCCCTCGCCCCCCAGGCCTTCCCCCAGTGGCACCGAGTGTGCGGGGCTGTGGCTCCTCCCCTCCCCTCCCTGCCCGTCCCCAGCCACCCGGGCTGTGGGTCGTGGCAAGCCGCCACCTCAGCCCGGCGTCCTGGCGTCCCTCGCAGCCACGCCGTTCTGTTCCAGATGTGAACGAGTGCGCGGCGGAGACGCCGCCCTGCAGCGACGCGCAGTACTGCAAGAACGTCAACGGCTCCTTCTCCTGCGAAGGTGTGTCTGCGCCTGGGCCGCCCGCCCCTCTTCTCAGGGCCGGGGCTGGGGACAGGCTGGCGCCCAGGAGTCCTGCGGGGGATTCCTTTCTTCCTGTGTGTGTGTGTGTGACTGAGACAGGGTCTCGCCCAGGCTGGACTGCAGTGGTGCCATCGTGCCTCACTGCAGCCTCCAACTCCTGGGCTCAAGCGATCCTCCTGCCTCAGCCTCCCGAGTAGCCGGGACTACAGGCATGCGCCACTACGCCCGGCTAATTTTTTTTTTATATATATATATATTTTTAGCTGTCCAAGTAATTTCTTTCTATTGTTAGTAGAGACGGGGTCTCGCTCTTGCTCAGGCTGGTCTCCAACTCCTGACCTTGAGCCATCCTCCCGCCTCGGCCTCCCAGAGTGCTGGCACAACAGGCGTGAGCCACCGCGCCCGGCCTGTTGCTGGACATTTAAATCAAACTGACCGTTGTAAACTTTGAATACCCTTGCAGGTAAAACCTTCCGCATTCCTCATTATTCTCTTTGGATTAGTTTCTAAATTCCCCAGAGAAGGGACTGCGTACTTTAGGGCCACGATGTCCCCAGACAGGCTGGGCCGACTCGCAGTCCCCACAGCAGGGACGAGGCCGCCTGTCCCCAGTGTCTGCAACGGCACCGGGCAGTTTCAGCTGCTTTTACGAGGACCGTGGGGTGCCCGACGCCGAGATGTGGCCCCAGCAGCCCCCCAGGTGTCTCCACCGGGCGTCTCTTACGGAACTGCCGGTGGGCAAGCCGACTCGTGTCCCCTCGCCGGCTGCGGGTCTTGTTGCAAGAGCACCTGCCGAGTCTAGTTTCCACCTGGACAGAAGGACGCACGGGGTCGCTCCACACAGGGCCTCCCCTGCCGTGCGCGCTCCTGCCGGACCCTCGCAGGCACCTCTGCCGCGCGGAGCTGCGCTTCCGGGAGAAAGAGACCGGCTGGTGCAGTCGCCCCAGGGGCCGGTGGGGGGAAACCCACGTTCTCTGCCAGGCGGCGGCTCACGCCTGTAATCCTAGCACCATGGGAGGCCGAGCCGGGAGGATCGCTCAAGGTCAGGAGTTCGAGACCAGCCTGAGCATGAGTGAGACCCCGTCTCTACTAGAAATAGGAAGAAATTAATTGGGCAACTAAAAATATATAGAAAAGAAATTAGCCAGGCATGGTGGCACGCATGCCTGTAGTCCCAGCTACTCGGGAGGCTGAGGCAGGAGGATCGCTTGAGCCCAGGAGGTTGAGGTTGCTGTGAGCTAGGCTGACGCCACGACACTCACTCTAGCCTGGGCAACAGGGTGGGACTCTGTCTCAAAAATAATTAATTAATTAAAAATTAAATAAAAACCCAAGCTCTCACCAGTGTGGGCGCCTCTGGCGTCTGTGGGTTCAGATCCCGTCTTGCGTGTGTGGACGGTGGGCATGTGGACGGTGGGCGTGTGGACGGCGGGCGTGTGGGCGGCGGGTGTGTGGGCGGCGGGCGTGTGGGCGGTGGGCGTGTGGGCGGCAGGCGTGTGGATGGCGGGCGTGTGGATGGCGGGCGTGTGGCCTGACGTCCCTCCTTATTTCCAGAGTGCGACCCCACGTGCGTGGGCTGCACGGGGGACGGCCCAGGCATGTGCAAAGAGTGCGTCCCTGGCTACGCGAAGGACGGCGGGCAGTGCGCAGGTCAGTGGCGCCGTCTCTGGAGGGTCCTCGGTGTGGGCGCAGCCAGGGGCCGGGAGACAGCAGGCCCTGCGGCAGGTGCGGCTCTGAGCCAGGGGTTGAGACTGCGGGCGCGCGGTTGGGCGCTCTGCTCCGGCGTCGTGGTGCCCCAGGAACGGCGCTCTGGTCCAGCTCAGTGCCCGGCTCCCACCGTTCCGCCGCCTCATGTGGCTCAGAGTCGGGCTCCTGGTCACCGTGACAGCGGAATCACGGGCCCAGCTGGACGAGCGAGAAAGCACAGGTGTATTGATCCTGATCAAGACCCACGCTGAATCAGGTGTACCATGCCTGACAACCGTGGGCTCCCGCCTCACCTTTGCTGACGTCTCCTGCTCTGGTTTCGTGCTTGAGGTTCTGACCCAGGGTCCCTCAAAGTTGCGAGCCACATGCGGCCGGCCGAGGACATTTCGTCGCTAGAATTTTGCCGTTGTCCGCTCAAGCACCGACTCGTCCCGCCCGCTGTGCACATGTTGATTGCGCCGCACTCCCCAACGGCTCCACGTCTGCAGGAAGACTGGCCTTTTAAAGTGAGACTGGGAACCTTTTGACTGAATTCACCTCTAAAGCCTTTCCTGCTTCTTTTCAGGCGAC